TAGTATCAAACAGAAAGGGAGGAGTGGGAGAGTAGGGACAATTAAACTCACACATGACCACAAAAGGCAGCAAGCTGGGGGGCAGCAAACTGGGGGGCCAGGAATGACCACGGGGGGCTGCTTTTGGCCAGTAGCACCCACCACCCCAAGCTGTCCCTAGGGCAAAGCCAGGGGCACACGTGTTACCGCATTCCCCATCCCGGGGGAGAAGTTAGTGGCCTGGGGTGCAGAGCACCCCCCCATTTTGTTCTGGCCCTGGGAGAAGCAGGAGAGTGGGGTCTGCAGCCCCTGCCGCCCCAGGGAGAAGCTGGTGTCCACCCCTACCCTCTGTCCTGAGCCCTCCACCCCATCCCCTCAGCCCCCCTTCCTTCCAACCCCCTGCCCTGAACCCCTCCTAATCCCCCAACCCTGACTCTCACCCCCCACTCACCCACAGCCTTCTCCTGCCCTAAGCTCCTCATATCCACATGCCCCGGCTCTAACTCCTGTACCTCTCTGCACCCCCATCGCCAACCCCCTGCCCTGAAAGACCTGAGCAATGCCAAGTAAGTCTTCTAGTACTAAATATAGGTGCCATTTAGGAAGCTTAACTTGCCTTTAGAAACCAACAAACCCAATTATATGACTACATCTTGAACCACTTCCTTTAGCATTATCTTGACAAGATACTTATTCCATGAAGCCACCACTGCCTATTAGACTGTGATGCACTTTAGAAATATCATTTTTTTTTTCATTTTGAAACTAAAAATATCCTTGCAGTTTTTTGGAGTTATCAACTGCACACATTTTTTAAAAAGCCACACACACTAGAAATTAACACTGATAGCAGTGCCATCTGCTGGTTCAGCTGACATTAACATGCATCACTAAATAAATTTTGCAGTTTACATTCTATATTTCAAAGAAGCAATTTCACATGATTTTACTAAGACACACACACACACACAAAAAACAGAAAATGACAATAGCAGCATTGTTTCCCTGAAAGGAGCTGGAGAAAGGACATCTACACATTTTTTTACCAAGGCTTCAGGGTCTCCTCCAATTTTCCATGCTCATTCAGTCTTAATCTCTCGGCACATTTGTTGTCATATTTACAGAAAAGATGTTAAATTGCGGTTAATTGACTAGTCGAGTAGTCGATGGAATTTCCATCGACTAGTCGATAGGCACTTCTACATTTCAAAGGAGGAATGTGGAAGAGCCCCTGATGGAGCTCTGCTACATTTCAAAGGAGGAATGCAGAACTCCGTGTGCAGCCCAGGGCCAGCGGGAAGTCCCCCTGACACCGGGCTGCATGCAGGTGTGCTTACTTTGAAATGTACAAGAGTCCCTGGGGAGCTCTTGTGCATTTCAAAGCCATGGAGCCCGGGGTCAGCAGGGGACTCTCCAGCTAATCCTGGGCTCCATGGCACTGCCCCTTTGAAATGCCAACCCAGCACCTAAACAAGGGATAGACTGTTTAAAAAAACCCACAAAGAGCAATACCAGCAGCTGATGGGACAATGCACTTTGAAATGTCTTACCACAGGCAAAGTTAGGGGGCCCATACACAATGCAAAATGAATATGTTCTAAACCAGTTTAAAAAACACAGTCACATGCAAATGAAGGCCTCTAGCAAGGGTGAAATTGTTAGCTTTGCAATGCTTAATAACTCACATTTGGCAACATAAGTATTGCTGATCTTCAAAAAAAGCACCAAAAAGCACCAAATTATGTTTATGCTGACACCCTCTGTTGACATAACATAGCCACATCATTAGCTCCCCCATTGACAGAAAGAGCAAAGGTGGGCATGCATCCATTAGTGCCTGGTGTCACCTTCAGTCGCTAGACACTGTGGGAATGCACAACGTAGCACTAGGCATTTTAGGAACATGAAAAAGGTCCCCATCAGCTACCTCTTTGCTTCCCAATCCTACTGGAGCTTCCATATTACTTTCATTTCAGGTTACTTGCCATTTTAAACAATGGCAGTCCTTACTGCACACTCCACCATCTGCTGTGAGAAATCATGGATCCCAAACTTCTCTCCCATGTATTCTTCAATGTACTTAGGACATCATGCATTGTGGCAGGGCTACTTATACACTCAATAGCAGAGGGAGAAGACTTCAATGTGGGAAAGAGATGCATTTCTGTTTACATTGCTGCAGAGTAGCAGAGTTCAAACCGCTGGCCAGCGTGGTTCATCAGGCATTGTGGGAAATATTCTGAAGTTCAAAAAATGTAAAAAAAAAAAAAAAATCACCACACTACATCGGTGGTCATCAGCAGGTCGATCGCGATTGACTGGTCGATCACAAGGCCTCGACCAGTCGATCGCGAGAAGTCCTGTCCGCCCCGTCCCCATTTCCCTCCCACCCCCCAGCACTACCTACCTCAAGTGAAAATGGAGGTAGTGTCGGCTTCCCGGGGATGGACAGAAGTCCCGCAGCTTAGCGCTAATTCCAGCGAATCCGGAAGTGCGCTACCTGCTCTGCTGGGTGTACTGTGGGAGGGAGCATCGGCTCCCTGCACTGCACAGGAGGGGTGAGTCAGCCCCGGGGGAGACGCGCATGGGGTTTCCCTGCGCGGGTGGGGGGGTCGGCCCCGGGGGAGGCAGCACTGCACAGGAGGGGTGAGTCAGCCCCGGGGGAGACGCGCATGGGGTTTCCCAGCGCGCGTGGGGGGGTCGGCCCCGGGGGAGGCATGCGAGGGACTTCCCTGTGCCGCGGGGGAGGGGGTTTCGGCCCTGGGGCAGGCATGTGCTGGTTTCCCTCGGGGGGGGGAGGGGGAGAGATCCTGGGAGGAGGCAGATGCAGGAGACTCTCTGCCTCCACTGGCTCCCCAGCCCCCACTCCCCTATCCCCAGCTACAGAACGCTGTCCCCACTCTCCTCCCCACTCCCCGAACGCTGTCCCCACTCCCGTCCCCAGCCACAGAATTATGTCCCCACGCTCCTGTCCCCAGCTACAGAATTCTGTCTCCACTCCTCTGTTCCCAGCTACAGAACTCTATCGCTATTTCTGTCCCCACTCCCTAAACTCTGTCCCCACTGGCACCCTGTCCCCTACTGCAAACCTATCCCCACTGGCACTCTGTCCCCTGCTGCAGAACCCTGTCCTCTGCCCTCCCAGCACCCTGTTCCCTCTCTCCTGCTCCCAGCCACAGAACTCTGTCCCCATAAAATGTGTAATTATAAATGCTTCATTTTAGATTTAAATAGCATGAATAAAAAACAGACCATTTATTTCATAACTATAAATACGTGATTTTAATTTTATATATCGCATAATTTAAAAATAAACTGTTTATCAGAGTGTGTAAGTAAGGGTTGGGGATAGCAAGTGATAGACAGAAGGAGAATAGAGACGGTGGGGCTTCAAGGAAGGGGCAGGGCTTCAAGGAAGTGGCGGGGTAGTAGATCTTCGCCTATTCTGAGATTTAAAAAGTGATCTTGGGTGTAAAAAGGATGGAGACCACTGCACTATATGATTGTTGATAGTAAAGGAAAGGGGAGAGTCAAAAAACCCTTCAAGAGGTAGAAGTTTGTCACAAAAACTGGTTGTTTGTCATGACTTCTGTCACATGCAATGTGCACACACTCTGGGTTTTGTCACCAAAAATGTTTTTTTAGCAACAAAACTTGCCAGTGTAGACAAGCACTTAGTATTAAACAGATGATATACACTAGGGGTGCGGAACCTCACACCTGGGGGCCAGATGCAGCCTCCAGCTTACCTGGATTCAGCCCCTAAGGCTCAGAGTCGTCGTCCCCCTCCCAGCATTGGGGAGCCCATGCTGGCACTCCAGCCCCCTGCCACGGGCTGGAGCACTCAAAATCTACTAGCCTGTGCCCTCCTAAGCTGTGGTATGCAAGGGAAATGTGGGAAGTGTCTTTCTCCTGCCCAGTCAGGGGCCATGTCAGTAAGAGTTTCTTTGGTTTTTTGGTTTTTTTTGGGGGGAGGGGGGGCTTGCTTCTCACTTGTTGCATGCAGCCCTCGACTGATTTTTCTGTGGGTCAGCACACACACAAACTATAACCAAGATTTTCACACTTTAAGTACCAAAATGTAGGCTCTTAAACAAATATACTAATTTTCAAAATAATGAGCACCCTCCACTGTCAACATCTTAGGTGTAAGGCACTTACAACTTCCATTTTTGAAAATCAAGTCATTTGTTTAAGAGTCTACATGTTGACTTAAGAACAGTTATGCCCCCAAATTTTAAAGTCTTGGCCCATGTTTGAAGTCAACCATGTTACAAAGTTAGCTAAAACTGTAATATGGAAAAGGAATAATTGATCATGTTAGGCTGGGAAGATATTATTTAAATAACATGAGATACAGCTTGTTCACAGAGATTAAGTGTTTCCTTTGTTAGCTGCTCTTGCCATCCCAAAGAGTGAGATATTGCAGTTCCAAGTCTGACAGCCATCAAGATGGCCTTTCTCTTTTTTTAGGCTTCTCAAGAAATGTAGTCTATTTGTTTTGAGTTCCTATTAGCCATGCCATGGAGTCTGACAGAAAAAGCCTTCTCACCTTTCTGACTCCAAGCACAAATGCAGAACTTCTTGCAGGAAGCTGAAGAGAAAATGCACCTGAAATACTACCCCAACATACAATTTTGTTCCAACAATCATGCACAAAATGAAGACAGACACAAATCCTCTATCAAAGATTGCACAATTTACATTAGCACAAGACACAAAAAAAACCTCTGTGTAAGCTTGAAAGTTTGTCTCTTTCACAAAAATAGAAGTTGGCCCAATAGAAGATATTACCTCAACCACCTTGTTTCTAGAAAAAAAAAAAAGTAAAGTTAAACTTAAAGGACAAATGCAACATCAAAAAACTCAAGCCGTTTAAAAGGTTATAAAAGCTAAATACCTGAATTACAGTGGTGCTCCTATAATTCATCTTTTTGCCTAAACTACACAAATATCTCTAAGAGAGTTAAGATGCTATCAAGGCCTAAAAAAATAATCTGTATATTAACGACATATCGTACCTAGAAGATAGGTCTGTTGACTGTTAGGTGGTATATTTTCTTTAGCCATGGATATTAACACTTTGCTGGTCTCAGAAAGCTTCTCTGCACCTTTGCTCTGAAAAGAAAAAAAAAGCGTGTGTTTTGCAAGAATAGACAAGAAAATAGCCATAAGATATTGAACCATTTAGCTTTTGAATGGAAAACAGAGGTTTGGGGTTTTTTTTTTAATACATGATGTATTTCACTGATTTTAAAAATTACTGTACTACATTTGATCTCCAACAGAAGTTTAAATTAGTTGTGTGCTCCCAGGGTTTTCATAGCTTACCCATGTTAAGCATGTCTCCCAAAAGATCTGATCCACTTAACTTGGTACCAAGGTAAGCCAGCTACTAAATCAGTGGTTTTCAACCATTTTTCTTTTGCAGAGCCCTAAAAAAATTTGAATGGTGTTGTGGACCCCTTTGGAAATTGTAAAACATAGTCTGTGAACCCCCAAGACAACAGACTGAAAACCAGGTTGCTAAATTATTCTTTGGGCATGGTGGGTCACAGTTAGAGCATTGTCTTTGTATGCCCACACCCACCTGAACAGTTCAACAGAGATGACTCATTCATCTCACCTCACTCTGTGTAACTGCTCTGAACTAGGGATGTTAAATATCAGTTAAATGAATAGTCAATTAACCTCATGAATTCTTATCAGTTACTCAACTATTCTATAGTCCCAGGGGTGAGGCTGGCACCCAGTGCACTGCAGCTCCACTCTCGAGGAGCCCCCTTTCACTCCACATTGCTGCCTCCCTAACAGAAGTAGCAGTATGGGGTGCCAGGTGGGAGCTGGTCTACAAGGGGAGACAGTTTAAAAACCGGCTTCCCTCATGGACCAACTGTCTGTCCAGAGGCAGGGCTGAGCTCCCAGACCCAGCACATGCTGGAACTGAGCTGGGTTGCCTGCCTACACTTTAAATGCAGAGCTACAGTGGGGGTAGCTCCCAGGCCTGGTGTGAGCCAGGACTGACCCGGGCTGCTGGCCAGCCTGATAAAAAATTTACTGTTGGTGGAGGAGGGAAAATGAGTGTAGCTTTTGCTTATCGGTTAATCAACATACTATTACATCTCTACTCTGAACCAGTATCACTAACTCCAAGTATTCAAAAATCTGGAGTAAAGGCCTCGAAAACCATCAGATTAATGGGGGGAAATAACCATTTGTGATTCTTTTTATTTGCTGTCTGTTTACTAAAATTGCTATAATATATAAACATAAACAGTTATTACATAGTCCTATAGCTCTGCAGGGAACTAGATGGCCTTTCAAGGTTTCTTCCAATCCTCAAATTCTATACAGCTTTAGGCTTCATTGGAATTGTGTTTTCAGGTTCTTCTCCCCCATCCTTGATAGCTAGAAATGTTGTGGGGGTTTTTAAATGAAATCTGAGATTCTCCTGTAAACTCAGGATTCAAGGAGCTGACAGTCCAAGGAAAACACTAAATACTGTGAGGTATTCATAATGAATAGCCTTGGAAGCATCTTAGAGGCGAACAAAAAATATAGATGGTATACTGATACCATCATGAAAGCTCATGATACCATCTACATTTTTGTTAGTCTCTAAGGGTATGTCTAGACTTGCACCCTCTTTCGAGAGAGGGGTGCAAATGAAAACATTTGAAATTGCAAATGAAGCCAGGATTTAAATATCCTGCACATCATTTGCATATTTGCGTTATGGCACTATTTCAAAATCGTGCTATTTTCAAAATAACAGACGCTGTTAAGACATGGTTATTTCTAGAGAAAACCCCTCTCTCGAAATAACTGATAAACTTCATTGTATGAAGAATAAGGGTTATTTCAAGAGAAGGGTTTTCTCTCGAAATAACCGCGTCTTAACAGCGACTGTTATTTCAAAATAGCGCCATAACGCAAATATGCAAATGAAGCAAGGGATATTTAAATCCCAGCTTCATTTGCAATTTCACATATCTTCATTTGCATCTCTCTCTCGAAAGAGGGTGCAAGTGTAGACATACTCTAAGGCAGGGGTAGGCAATAATTTTTGAAGGGGGGGGCCACTTCACAAATTTCGGAAGTGGCCACAGGCCAGCCCAGAAGGGGTGGGACCTCCAGCAGAGTTGAGAGCTACCCTACCAGGAGCTTTGCTTGGCCTGGGGTTCCTGTCCCCTGATCTCTAGCCAATGGAAGGGAGCTGGAGCAGAGGGGAGGGTACCAGGTGCTAGCTTTCTCCCAGAGTTGTCTGGGATGGAGGCTTAGATTTCATATAACAGAACACAGCTTCTGGCCTCACTGCTAATCTGTTGTCCGGCAGCTGCACAAGCCCTTTGAATAGAAGCAGCTGAAAGGGCTCGTGCCTCCAAGCAGCTCCCAGGCAACAAGCCAGAGAGGCAGAGCTGTGAGCTCTATTCAATTGCTTCTGTTTAAAGGGATTGTGCCTCCCAGGTGGTTGCCAGGCAATGCAGCCACTCAGCAGGTGAGCCCTTTCAAGAGACAGTTGAAAGGGCTCCCATCTCTGGCTCCCTCATAACACTCTGGCGCTGTGAGCCTTTTTAAGTGCTTCTATTTAAGGGGCTAGCGCCTTCTCTGTGCCTGTCAGGCAACGTGTTGCCTAGCAACCATGGGGAACACGAGCGCCCTTTAAATAGAAACAGCTGAAAGGGCAGGCAGCTCCCCACACCTCTAGCACGTTGCCTGAGATGTGTGATTCCTTTCAGCTATTTATATTTAAAGGGCTCTCGTGTTCCCCGCAGCTGCTAGGCAATGCTGCCTGATGGGCGCAGGGAAGGCATAAAAGCCCTTTAAATTGAAGCACTTAAAAGGGCTAAGGGTGGGGCCTGGAACTGCTTCGTTGGCCAGATAAAAGCCTTAGTGGGCCAGATCCGGCCCACTGAGAGGTTTGTGCCCACCCCTGCTCCAAGGTGCTGCAAGATTATTCATTATTTTGTAAGTCTTTTTGGCAACAACATTAGGGAGACAGATGAATGCCTGCCTTCTTCTCTCAGCAACCTGAAAATAAAGCTACTATATAGAATCAATAGGTGACTGGGCAAAAAAAAAAAACAGCAAATGAATTTTAATGTTAATTAATGCAAAGTAATATGCACATTGGAAAAAATAATCCCAACTAAGGATGTAAAAGACTAGTCCCCAGCTGACCCTGGGTTCCACGGGACTCTTGTGCATTTCAAAGCAGGCATCTGCGTGCAGCCAGGAGTCAACGGGACTGCCTGCTGGCCCTGGGCTGTACGCCGATTTCCACATTCCTCCTCTGAAATTGATAAGAGCCCCTAGTAGGGGGGTAGTGAAACACTGGAATTTCACTAAGAGGGTGGTGAAGCACTGTAATGGGTTACCTAGGGAGGTGGTGGAATCTCCATCCCTAGAAGTTTTTAAGTCCTGGCTTGACAAAGCCCTGGCTGGGATGATTTAGCTGGGATTGGTCCTGCAGGGGCTTGGTGCACGTAACAAAATTGTTTCTGCACGTGGATAATCTGTGGCAGGCATAGGACCAAGGGGTTCAGAGTGTGGGAGGGGGCTCAGGGATAGGGAGGATGAGTTGAGGCTGGAGAGGAGGTATTTGGAGTAGAGGAGGGGCCTCCAGGCTGGGACCAAGTGGTTTATAGTGAGGAAGCAGGCTCAGTGAGGAAGCAGGCAACTGGTGTGAGGGTGTGGGCTCTGGGAGAAGTTAGAGTGCAGAAGGAGGCTCTAGGTTGGGATGGGGGTGTCCAAGAGGGAGCTAAGGTGGTGGAGCTGGCTCAGGACTAGGGCTGTGGGTTGGGGTGCGGAGTTTTGGAGCGAATTAGGGGCCTGCAGGAGGAGGCTCAGACCTGGGGTGCACGATCTGGGAGAGGGGTCAAAGGCTGGAGTGTGGAGCTCTTACTAGGGATGTTAAATTGCATTTAATCAACTAATCAACTTGTCGATTAGTCGATCAATGGGGTTAGCTCCTGGCCCTAAGAGCTAACCACACTGTGGCTCTGCCTTTTAAATGTATTAAGAGCTGGCAGGCTCTTAATACATTTAAAAGACTGAAGTACAGTGGGAGGGACCAGGCGTGAGCCAGGACAGCTGATTTCCAGGTCACGCCTGGTTGTTCTCACTGCACTTCAGCCTTTTGAATGCATTAAGAGCCTAATGGCTCTTAATACATTTAAAAAGCAGAGGTGCAGCATCTGGGACTGGGTGCGAGCAGGGAATCAGCTCTGATTGAGGCAGCAAGGGGAGGGAAGCAACTAGTTGAGTCACTACTCGACTATCAGATAAGCTTATGCTTATCAGATAGTCCACTTGTCGCTTACATCCCTAGCTCTTACTTGGGCAGCTCCTCTTTGTTGGGAGGAGGGAATATGTGGCTCCATGTGGCCCAAGAAGCTCCCAGTGGCCAGGATTCCCAGCAAACAGAAGCTGGGGGCAGGAGGGCAGAGCCTCCAGACAAGGGCAGTGCAAGGACAGAGATTCCCAGGGCTCAGGGCAATGCAGCTTCAGTCAGGGATGGGGCGGGGAGGAAAAGGAATGGCAGAGTGCAGCACCACCTGACATCCTCCCCACCAGGAAGCACTGGCCCAGAACACAGGGACTTTACACGCTGCAGCCTTAGCTTAGGGCCTTAGGTTGCAGCCTTTTCTTAATGTGGCCATGCTGCTGAGTCAGCATTTTGTGTGTGTATGTGCATTTTTGAATTCTGTCTTACAAAGCCCAACTGGCTATGGGACTTGCCTATCTCCTTTGGAATGTAAGATGAGGAGTTGCTAATCAGAGAAATTCTTAATAAGGTTGATACCAGGATTCCCTCTGACTGTGTGGCTGCATAGCTCAGGGCTGCTGCTCATGGAGCTGCCATGGCTAGAGGGAAAGATGCACTTTGACTGCAGCAAAATGCAGGACAATGTAGCACTTTAAAGACTAACAAGATGGTTTATTAGATGATGAGCTTTCGTGGGCCAGACCCACTTCCTCAGATCAAAACCTTTTTGATCTGAGGAAGTGGGTCTGGCCCACGAAAGCTCATCATCTAATAAACCATCTTGTTAGTCTTTAAAGTGCTACATTGTCCTGCATTTTGCTGCAGTCAAAGTGCATCTTTCCCTCTAGCC